TTACTCAGGGAACAGACACAGAATTGTTACTCAGGGACAGACACAGAATTGTTACTGAGGGACACAGAATTGTTACTCAGGGGGACACAGAATTGTTACTCAGGGGACACAGAATTGTTACTGAGGGACACAGAATTGTTACTGAGGGACACAGAATTGTTACTCAGGGACAGACACAGAATTGTTACTGAGGGACACAGAATTGTTACTCAGGGGGACACAGAATTGTTACTCAGGGGGACACAGAATTGTTACTCAGGGACACACAGAATTGTTACTGAGGGACACAGAATTGTTACTGAGGGACACAGAATTGTTACTCAGGGGACACAGAATTGTTACTCAGGGACAGACACAGAATTGTTACTGAGGGGACACAGAATTGTTACTGAGGGACACAGAATTGTTACTCAGGGACACAGACAGAATTGTTACTGAGGGACACAGAATTGTTACTTCAGGGAAACCAATAGGGACACAGAATTGTTACTCAGGGACACAGAATTGTTACTCAGGGACACAGAATTGTTACTCAGGGACACAGAATTGTTACTCAGGGACAGACACAGAATTGTTACTCAGGGACACACACATAATTGTTACTGAGGGACACAGAATTGTTACTGAGGACAGACACAGAATTGTTACTGAGGGACACAGAATTGTTACTCAGGGACACAGAATTGTTACTGAGGGACAGACACAGAATTGTTACTGAGGGACACAGAATTGTTACTGAGGGACACAGAATTGTTACTCAGGGACAGACACAGAATTGTTACTGAGGGACACAGAATTGTTACTGAGGGACACAGAATTGTTACTCAGGGACACAGAATTGTTACTCAGGGACAGACACAGAATTGTTACTGAGGGACACAGAATTGTTACTCAGGGACACAATTGTTACTCAGGGACACAGAATTGTTACTGAGGGACACAGAATTGTTACTCAGGGACAGACACATGAGGGACACAATTGTTACTGAGGGACACAGAATTGTTACTGAGGGACACAGAATTGTTACTCAGGGACAGACAGAATTGTTACTGAGGGACAGACACAGAATTGTTACTCAGGGACAGACACAGAATTGTTACTGAGGGACACAGAATTGTTACTCAGGGACACAGAATTGTTACTCAGGGGACAGGGACACAGAATTGTTACTCAGGGACACAGAATTGTTACTCAGGGACAGACACAGAATTGTTACTGAGGGACACAGAATTGTTACTGAGGGACACAGAATTGTTACTGAGGGACACAGAATTGTTACTCAGGGACACAGAATTGTTACTGAGGGACACAGAATTGTTACTGAGGGACACAGAATTGTTACTCAGGGACAGACACAGAATTGTTACTGAGGGACACAGAATTGTTACTCAGGGACACAGAATTGTTACTCAGGGACACAGAATTGTTACTCAGGGACACAGAATTGTTACTCAGGGACACAGAATTGTTACTCAGGGACAGACACAGAATTGTTACTCAGGGACACAGAATTGTTACTCATGGGGACACAGAATTGTTACTGAGGGACACAGAATTGTTACTGAGGGACACAGAATTGTTACTCAGGGACACAGAATTGTTTACTGAGGGACACAGAATTGTTACTCAGGGACACAGAATTGTTACTCAGGGACAGACACAGAATTGTTACTGAGGGACACAGAATTGTTACTCAGGGACACAGAATTGTTACTCAGGGGACACAGAATTGTTACTCAGGGACACAGAATTGTTACTCAGGGACAGACACAGAATTGTTACTGAGGGACACAGAATTGTTACTGAGGGACACAGAATTGTTACTGAGGGACACAGAATTGTTACTCAGGGACACAGAATTGTTACTCAGGGACACAGAATTGTTACTGAGGGACACAGAATTGTTTATCAGGGACACAGAATTGTTACTCAGGGACACAGAATTGTTACTGAGGGACAGACACAGAATTGTTACTGAGGGGGACACACAGAATTGTTACTCAGGGACACAGAATTGTTACTCAGGGACACAGAATTGTTACTGAGGGACAGACACAGAATTGTTACTCAGGGACAGACACAGAATTGTTACTGAGGGACACAGAATTGTTACTCAGGGGACACAGAATTGTTACTGAGGGACACAGAATTGTTACTCAGGGACACAGAATTGTTACTCAGGGACACAGAATTGTTACTCAGGGACACAGAATTGTTACTGAGGGACACAGAATTGTTACTGAGGGACACAGAATTGTTACTCAGGTCAATCAGAATTGTTATCAGGGACACAGAATTGTTACTGAGGGACACAGAATTGTTACTGAGGGACACAGGGAATTGTTACTCAGGGGACACAGAATTGTTACTGAGGGACACAGAATTGTTACTCAGGGGACAGACAGAATTGTTACTGAGGGACACAGAATGTGTATGCTCAGGGACACAGAATTGTTACTGAGGGACACAGAATGTTACTCAGGGACACAGAATTGTTACTCAGCAGGACACAGAATTGTTACTGAGGGACACAGAATTGTTACTCAGGGACACAGAATTGTTACTCAGGGACAGAATTGTTACTCAGGGACAGACACAGAGATGGCTATGGGAGCTGGCTTCCGGTCAGCTCTGACACCCACTGTTCCTCTCAGGGACAAGACGTGGACAGAATTGTTCCCTCAACAAGGCGAAGGGACATCAGAATTGTTACTAGCCCCCAGGGTACACAGAATTGTTACTGGAGGGACACAGAATCAGGAACGGGGGGACAGAATTGTTACTCAGGGACAGCAAGACAACAGAATTGTTACTCAGGGACAGGAATTGGTTTCGGTCAGGGACACTAGAGACAGAATTGTTACTGAGGACAAACGGCAGAATTGTTACTGAGGGCTAGTAGTTACTGAGGGACCCAATTGATGATGATTGTTACATCGCACTTGGCATCTCGTCGTGACATCAGGAATTGCTTCCGCATCAGTCAGACAAGAGGGTGCGAGGGAGGGACAGAAGTTGTTACTGAGGGACACAGAATTGTTACTCAGCAGGACACAGGAATTGTTACGGAGGGACACAGTAATGTTACTGAGGGACACAGAATTTTTACTGCAGCCACAGAATTGTTACTCATGGTGAGACACAGAATTGTTATGAGGTCACACAGAATTGATACTCCATTCGGAGGGACACAGAATTGTTACTCAGGGACACAAATTCGTGTGCTGAAGGGACAGCCACAAAAGCCGTACAACAGAATTCGTTACTGAGGGACACAGAAATTTTTCGTTACTCAGGGACAGACCAGAATTTTTGGGACAAGTAATCGTTGTGGCAGACTATGGGACACAGAAATTGTTTACTGGCCAGGGAAAGATGGCCCGGGCCCGTGTTGGGACTAGCAGACGTTGCCTCTTAGCAGAGGATGCAGCGTCGCCACTGTCGGTGGCCAGGGAAACTCCGGGTCTAACATGGGTTCCTGCCTGCCACACAGCCCATTGGTTGCACATTATCGTACAAATTCTGCAGGGACACAGATTGACTATCCTCAGGGATTGCTGCTGCGGGCCTTTCGTTTCAGGGACAAAGATGTTACCGCATCAGGGACCTCATGCTGCTGCCCACTGTCAAGTGTCCATGGCCCGTCCCTGTATCGCCATTGCTGCTGTTCCACTGCCGGGACACATCATGCCATGTGCCACTTTTCAGGTCTCCTCACACTGTTGCTGGGTTCCATTTTGTCATAGGGTGCTGGCAGATTACGGGCCTCCCAACTGGCAGTGCCATTGTGCCTCAGGGGAGAAATCGCTAATCGTTTAGCTGCAAGGTCCAGGGTGCTGCAGAAGGGTCCACAGTGTACTCAGGATGTGGCCGTTGTACTATGTTCAGGACTCAGTCATTCCTGGCATGGTGTGCCATTGTTGTCATAGGGGTGCACAGGTGATTCATGCGGGTGCACCCCCATTGCATGATGAACTGAGGCCCCTGTGTACTTCCATGGGCCCCTGTACCGCTCCTCATCCAGGTCCACAGTATTGTTAACCATGGGTCCCTGGCCTACCCATTGCTGCTGTCTCCATCGCCAACCTCACAGGGTGTGCCACTTTCAGCTCTCCTCACACAGGCTGGTGGGTTTCCATTTGTGTCATAGGGTGCTGTATGGCCAGAATTGCTGCTGCCAGGCCCGTAATCTGCCATGGGCACCCCGTACCGACTCCTCATGCTGCTGCCAGGCCCGTAATCTGTCATGGGCCCCTGTTGTCGCTTGTTGGCAAACAGCCGCTCGTTTCAGATGCTCCCTTCTCCTGCTACTTCCTCTTCACGGATTCCGCAGTCTTCTTCCAGAAGTCTTTTTGTCAAGCCGCCGTCCTTCCTGAGACAAACTGGGAACAGACTCCGCCCCACGCTCCTCATGCTGCCTGCCAGGAAAGCATGAGTGTTCATGGAGCCCCCACAGTTAGTCCTCTGCAGGGACAACAGAGTTGTTAAGCTGCCAGGCCCGAATCTGTTCATGCGCCCCTGTACCGCCTCCTCATTGCTGCTGCCAGGTCCAGAGTGTGTGTCATGGGCCCCCCTGTACGGCCTCCCATTGCTGCTGCCAGGTTCCCCGTAATTTTTCCACATGGGCCCCCGATTACCGACCCCTCATGCTGCTGCTGCAGGCCCGTAATCTGTCTAAATGGGCCCTGTACCGCGCCTCCTCATGCTGCTGCCAGGTCCACAGTGTCTCATGGGTCCCTGTACCGCCTCCCATTGCTGCTGTCTCCATCGCCACACTCTGCCATGTGCCACTTTCAGGTCTCCTCACACTGCTGCTGCAGGGTTCCCATTTTGTCATAGAGTGCTGGCAGATTACGAGCCTCCCATTGCTGCAGCAGGCCCCTAATCTGTCATGGGCCCCTGTCACCGCCTCCTCATGCTGCTGCCAGGTCCACAGTGTCTCATGGTCCCTGTACCGCCTCCCATTGCTGCAGTCTCTTGGGAATCGCCACACTCTGCCATGTGCCCACTTTCAGGTCTCCTCACACTGCTGCTGGGGTTCCATTTTGTCATAGAGTGCTGGCAGATTACGGGCCTCCCATTGCTGCTGCCAGGCCCCTAATCTGCCATGGGCCCCTGTACCACCTCCTCATGTGCTGCTGCCAGGTCCACAGTGTCTCATGGGTCCCTGTACCGCCTCCCATTGCTGCTGTCTCCATCGCCACACTCTGCCATGTGCCACTTTTCAGGTCTCCTCACACTGCTGGTGGGTTTCCATTTTGTCATACAGGTGCTGTATGGCCTCCCATTGCTGCTGCCAGGCCCGTAATCTGCCATGGGCCCCGTACCGACTCCTCATGCTGCTGCCAGGTCTCATGCTGCCAGGCCCGTAATCTGTCATGGGGGCCCCTGTTGTCGCTTGTTGGCATATTCCGCTCGTTCAGATGCTCCTTCTCCTGCTACTCCTCTTCACGGATTCCGTCAGCAGTCTTTCTTGGAATCCGTTTCCAAGAGACAACAGTTTGCGAGCATGCACCCGACGGTGCAGAAGCTGAACGTCCTCCTGTCCAAGTTGCTGCTGCCAGGCCCGTAATCTGTCATGCGCCCCTGTACCGCTCTCCTCATGCTGCTGCCCAGGTCCAGAGTGTGTCATGGGCCCCGTACCGACTCCTCATGCTGCTGCCAGGCCCGTAATCTGTCATGGGCCCCTGTACCGCCTCCTCATGCTGCTGCCAGGTCCAGAGTGTGTCATGGGTCCCTGTACGGCCTCCCATTGCTGCTGCCAGGCCGTAATCTGCCATGGGCCCCGTACCGACTCCTCATGCTGCTGCCAGGCCCGTAATCTGTCATGGGCCCCTGTACCGCCTCCTCATGCTGCTGCCAGGTCCACAGTGTCTCATGGGTCCCTGTACCACCTCCCATTGCTGCTGTCTCCATCGCCACACTCTGCCATGTGCCACTTTCAGGTCTCCTCACACTGCTGGTGGGTTCCATTTTGTCATAGGGTGCTGTACGGCCTCCCATTGCTGCTGCCAGGCCCGTAATCTGCTATGGGCCCCCGTACCGACTCCTCATGCTGCTGCCAGGCCCGTAATCTGTCATGCGCCCCTGTACCGCCTCCTCATGCTGCTGCCAGGTCCAGAGTGTGTCATGGGCCCCCGTACCGACTCCTCATGCTGCTGCCAGGCCCGTAATCTGTCATGGGTCCCTGTACCGCCTCCTCATGCTGCTGCCAGGTCCAGAGTGTGTCATGGGTCCCTGTACGGCCTCCCATTGTTGCTGCCAGGCCCGTAATCTGCCATGGGCCCCCGTACCGACTCCTCATGCTGCTGCCAGGCCCGTAATCTGTCATGGGCCCCTGTACCGCCTCCTCATGCTGCTGCCATGTCCACAGTGTGTCATGGGTCCCTGTACGGCCTCCCATTGCTGCTGTCTCCATCACCACACTCTGCCATGTGCCACTTTCAGGTCTCCTCACACTGCTGGTGGGTTCCATTTTGTCATAGGGTGCTGTACGGCCTCCCATTGCTGCTGCCAGGCCCGTAATCTGCCATGGGCCCCCGTACCGACTCCTCATGCTGCTGCCAGGCCCGTAATCTGTCATGCGCCCCTGTACCACCTCCTCATGCTGCTGCCAGGTCCAGAGTGTGTCATGGGTCCCTGTACGGCCTCCCATTGCTGCTGCCAGGCCCGTAATCTGCCATGGGCCCCCGTACCGACTCCTCATGCTGCTGCCAGGCCCGTAATCTGTCATGGGCCCCTGTACCGCCTCCTCATGCTGCTGCCAGGTCCAGAATGTGTCATGGGTCCCTGTACGGCCTCTCCATTGCTGCTGTCTCCATCGCCACACTCTGCCATGTGCCACTTTCAGGTCTCCTCACACTGCTGGTGGGTTCCATTTTGTCATAGGGTGCTGTATGGCCTCCCATTTGCTGCTGCCTCCACCGCCACACTGTGGCTCCACACTCTGGTTTTGGCCCCGTGACTGCCCAAATGAGTGAAGTGTGCGGTGATTCTAAGATCGACGGCACTCATCTGCATGTCATACTGACTGACAGTATTATTTCTCTTCCCCAGCAGACTCCAAGGGCATTTAAATTAAAGGTACAGTGTTCTGCACTAATATAAAGGCTCTCTGAAGCCTAGAAACACCCTTTTATAAGTTAAATTCGCAGCGAATATATTCGACTCGAATCAAATTTTTTTCACGAATTCGCCGAATCAGTCGAATCGAATTTTTTAATAATTCGCTCATCTCTAATTATAACAAACTTAACACATAAAATCATTGTCTGATTTGGTAATTACAAAGATATAATCTCATAGACATATTCATCATAGTACAATCAAATACATATACTTCAATGTCCAAGTGATGAAATTGATCAGTGATGTGATTGGCACAGATGGTACAATTGATTAATTTGAAGTTTCTCTTCTTCAGGGGAAAGGTGAACCTTCATACCTATATAAACATATACATTAGCACAACATCATAAAAAACATACCCAAACCTGCAACACCATTTCAAACTGTGAAATTATGATCGGTTCAGAGAGGCGCCAGGCTAAACAGTGTATCTCATGAAAGATGGGAGAGAGGAAAGTCTACTAGACAGTTCCTCCTCAATCTTAAATATTGACTATATGGGGTAGAGTTAATCAATTAGATCAGGATGAACTCTAGTCGTGTAGAATATTATTCCCTGAGGTTTCTTTTTGGTGCAAGTTGCTACCCAAAATGTCCATTTTTTTCTGAAAAAGGTTTCTACATCTGGAAAAGTAATTTTCTCTCAATGATTTGACAAGTACAATGTCATATTGATGCTGCTGGAGTTTAGCTTATTAAAAAATTAACCGACCCCTCCCACACCATAAAAATATTGACAAGAAAAAAAGGGGAGGGGGGAAGGAAAAGGGAAACCACCCCAAATTCAGGGGAGATAACGGGATTTTTAAGGTGCCATCATTGATAATCACAACAAAAGCTAAAATTTGAAATTTTTGTTATTGATCAGAATAAAAATCCATAGAATTCAATAACAGTAAAAGAAATACAGTTCTGAATCAATACATCAGTGGTTGTTACTCATTCAAAAGATAATTACGATGTCATACTTCTCAACATTTTGCTTATTTCAGTCTTCTTCAGGAAATATTTTATAACACCTACAATAGAAAAATTTGTGTTTATTACAGTATATTTCCACACTGTTATTTGATGTATCATATATAGAACATCAGAAAAACAAGTTCACATGTTTACAGACTTTTTATATCATATACCACATATGTAGAAATACTTGTGTATGAAGCAATGCTTCAAAGTTTGATGGATTGCCACTTACAGATAAATCCGTGCATATCCAATGAATTGAAAACTAAATGAGAAATTCAAGAAGGTTTTAATTAGCTGGCATATGACGTAATTTAATTGGACAAACAATCCTTTGTATAGCCCAGACACAGTGATGTATGCCTTAGCCACCGGAGGGGCACAGGAGCTGGGTTGGACAATAAAGTAAAAATTAAATGTATGTTGAAAACTCCTATCTTACCAAATGGAATATCAGAAAAAGAGACATTGCTACAAGACCAATATGATAAAATTTACCTTTAAGGAATGTGGATCACACCACAAAATGACCAAGCAGCATGCGAATGCTTATAACGTCCCTTTTTAGTGTATCTCCACGAAAGAGCCAAAAAATGTTGCCCCAAAATGGGTTCTAAAACACGATATAAAATGTAACAAATACAGTACAATGGATGCTTATAATGCTGCAAGTATAATATAATGCAAACAATACTTAGCTCCTGTGGAATATCAGCCTACCTCTCACAACACTTTTAATCCACCTGTATGAGGATTTCCCCAAAAACCATATTCAAGTTTAGTTGGAACAAATAACCCCCAAATGAAAGGGGGAACTGTGCACAATAGTGGCGGATAAAGCCGCTGTTAAACAAAAAAAAGCAATAAATTAATACCAGTGGGAGACCAAAACTCATAAGCAAAGATCGCAAAAAAGCAGCCACAGGCTTCAGATAATCAATATTTACTGTGTCTCACCAAATAGCACCACCACCGCGAACACCACCTCCCCATCAGCCAGCAAAACAATCACCCCCGCCAGTTCCTTTATATATGTGCCCCTCCTGCAGTGCCCGATGTCATGATGCAGCACGGACATACCATCGGACGTCACTTCTGCCCATCACCCCTATTGGGCCATCCCAACATGGCGGAGCCCAGCATCAACACACAAGAATTTATTGTTCAGTTCACGACACGCTGACAAAGAGGACACATGAGAAGAACACATCAGCGATACCAATAAACCTATGAATAATGGATCCTGAAAGCACCATCTAGTAGATTTACATAGATTTAAATATAGTAAATATTGAAAGCACCATTCAGTGGATTTAAAGCATATTACAGAAAAAAATCTTCAAATTAATATATTCCCTTACAGAAAATATTACCAAAATGGATGACGACAGAATAAACATCCTTAGGAAGGGGCCCCTTAGGAAGGTGGAGGACAACACTGAAAGGTGCTCAATCCACACTTATCATCTCAAGGGGCGCCCCCAAAACTTCCATGTAGCCACTGCAACACCAAATGTCCAAGCCAAAGACAGCTAAAATTTATATCTCATTTTCCATTTTTGCCAAAACGATTGGGATATCAATTTATTAAAACAAAGATGCCCTCCAGCAAATTCTTACAATCATACTTCTAAACAAACATATATGAGGTAAATTTGATGTGAATAAGCAGAAACAGGAATGCATGTGTCAGAGCCTGGGATCGAACCTGGGCCTTCTGCGGTGAGAGGCAATGTTTCTTCTCACTGAGCTACCTGGGATACTCAACTATACTCTGCCTGATCTATTGGATAATCCTGCCTTATGCCTTGTTTTCTCTTGAACCTTGAACTCCTTGCTCCTCCCATGAACTTCCTGATAAAAGTCATGTCCATGCAATTCCTCCTTGCCAGATTATTGTGCCTTCCCAGCCAATATCCCTCATGTCGGTCCTGCTGCTGTCTACATCTTTGCTACCGACCTTTGGCTAGCTACTGACTACAATTTTTGCCTCATCCTCATCTGCTACCATTTGTGATCGACCCTTGGCTTGTGACTGACTCCGCTTCTCTTTGATCCCTAACCTGTTTGATTCTCTATTGGTTTCCAGCTTGCCCATTCCCTGGTGGGGTGATCCTGAGGTCTGCGACCTGGTGTTAACACGCAGCCAAATCCATCTCCACCACTAGGAGCTCTGGTGAAAACTGGTTAATACTTAGACCCCACACCTCAGGTGAGCCTGGGCTGTTTCCCAGGGTGACCGATCCTGCTGGTTTCAGGTAAGCCTTTTACTGCTGTAGCAACTGGTCTCTGAACCTGACCCAGACCGTGACAGCATGGCTATTCTCATATTCAATCCAAAAATTAGAATCCTCATTTATTTTCCCTACAAAAATGACTTAAAGCTTATGGAATCATTTAAACCTGGAAATTTCGTAGCTTGTAAAGTAAAAATCCACTTTGTTTCACGTTGCAATAAAAGACGATCAAAATACCCACCTATTTCATGAATGGAAATATGTTCAAGTGCAAAAAAATTTATTTTAGACAAATCATAATTATGTTATAGACCCACATGTCTGCTGATAGGGGTCTCTTTTTTTGGTAATCAGTGATATATGATCAAGATAATGGAAAAACATGCACTTGGTCTTTCCCACAAAAAATGCCCCACAGTCACATTGCATAAAATATACAATGCCCATAGTTTGACAACTTACTGAGCATCTTGGTGTATATATACATTTATTTCGTAAATTAACTGTACTGGCATTTGAAAGAAAATGGCAAAAGCTACAATATTCCACAAGGGAATGTACCTGTACATTGAGCTTTTGAAGTACATTTACTCCTGTAATGACTCTGTACCAATTAAACTTTTAAGAATTTTGATCTTCGAAATGTGATATGTGGAAATGGACTAATATATTTGGAAACCGTATCATTTACCTGCAAAAGGTACCAAAATGTACCCAGAACATCATGTACCAATTTTGCTTGACCTGTGAAACGAGTGATTACTCTAGTCTTAGAAGGAGTAGTTCTAGCTTTGGTTTGATGAATTAACTGAGACCTATTTAGGCCTTTGACCCGACTATATGCCCTTTTTAAACAAGATCTACTGTATCCTCGTTGCAAAAGGCGTATTTGTAAAGCCTTTGCTTCTTTTTCAAAATTAGTACAATTCCGCTTAATCCTTAGGTATTGACTATAAGGCATAAAATAAAATAAAAGAGATCTAGGGTGCGAACGCGTAGCATGAAGAATGGTGTTCTCTGCTGAAGGTTTCCAATATAGCAAAGAGTCAATGCTTCCATCATTGTTGATAAAAATTGTAACATCAAGAATTGTAACATTCAAGGTAAGTACCTCCCCAAATAAATAAGACATCATCAATAAAGCTATGCCAAATGATTATCTTTCCTAAATCGTCTCGTAGATCCTGTCATGAAAAACATTGGTGCTCCCACCCCCCCAGGTACACGTTTGCATAGGATGGGGCACAACGAGTCCCATTGCAACTCATTGCACCTAGAGGTAGTGGGAGTGTTTGAATAGAAAAACGTTGTGTGTCAAAATAAATTGCAAAAGTTCTTTAACAAATTAATTGTATTCATAAGCAGATTGACCTCTCTCAGACAAAAATTGTTCCACTACTTCTATCCCTAAATCATGGGGGATTGAATTATATAGGGCTTCTACATCTACGGCAACTAGCCATGCTCCCGCTGGGATGTGCATATCATCCAAAGTTTTCAACAAATCAATAGTGTCTTTAACTTCTTGCCGACCGCGCATAGCCGAATGACGGCTGCACCGCGGCCGGCCAGTTCTGAGTGGATGTCATATGACGTCCTCCCAGAACGCGCTCTCCTGCGCGCCCCAGGGGGCGCGCACCCGGCGATCTCCGTGATCGCTGTGTCCTACGGACACAGCTGATCACGTGATGTGGTGAAAGGCTGATCCCACCGGCCTTTTACCACGTGATCAGCGGTGTCCAATGACACGCTGATCACAGGGAAATGCAAGTGCCG